ATTAGTTTACTTAGTTATTAAGAAAAGCGATAAATAGATGAAAGAAACAATGTTTACACACCGACACACACACACATATATATATATATATATATATATATATTACACAACTGTCGAGTTAAGTATGAAAACGTAAAACAATTTTAGATCTAAAGAGCTTTGTGAGTTGGGTGGTCTTTAGCTACGTGTTGACTTTCTTTAATGTAGAGGTCAAGGTCTAAAGATCTTGTGTTGATGAGAGAGAGATCATTAAATGAAGTTTTGTAACCTGTTGTTTCAGAATGTGAACAAATGGATGAGTGGCTGGATTTAAGTAGTGGATGGTTGGTTCTGTTAGATACTCCTAAATGTTCACAGACTAGTTTGTAAGTGGCATTTCGTTTTGCCAATGTACATGACCTTACAGTCACTACACATATAATTATACAAGAGCCATGAACATACAAGTTTAGGTACTTGATATTTGTACTGAAATAAGTGTATAATGCAGAGGCTAGGTCTGTATATTATTCTAAGTTGAATTTGAGGGAAGAAGTTTTTTATTAAGAAAGAGAGTTGTTTTTTAACCTTTTCTATATGGGTCACAGGTGAAAGGCCATGTAATCTTGTTTGTTGACTCACATTCAAAATTTTATTGAAGTACTGTTTCATGAATTTATATCAATAACTTTGGTATCAAACTGTAGATTATAATTCAAATTTTAGAACTATACATTACTCAACTTGTTTATTCAAAAGTAAATATTAAAAAAACACGGATGAACATCGATTTTCATGTGTCACGTGGTATGTTGAATGCAGCACTGGTTCAAATTAGATGTTTGTGATGTCAAAATACAAAATATACAATTTCGTACAAATTAGGAATTCAAACTACCAATATGGACAAGCTAGTATATAAAATAACGTCTTATCTTTTGTATTTGCTAAGGCCTCCCAGTGGCACAGCAGTATGTCTGCAGACTTATACTGCTAGAAACCGGATTTTGATACTCGAGGTGGGCAGAGCACAGATAGCCCATTGTGTACTGAATCAAACACAGTGCCCCCCCCCAGCCCACCTCTTTCCATATTTGGAAATGGTCCCTTACATATACTTTATATATGACATGAATAACCAATCAAGAGCTCAGAATGTACCCTTAGTGGTTTTTCTCAACCATTTTCAAGTGTTATTGTCCTCATTTCATTCTTTTCACACAATATTTCAAATTATGAGGTAAGTCTTTATTTAGCTCGAAAGTTCATATTCTTTTACTGTTCTAAGTGTAGATTATAATTCAAATTTTAAAACTATACATTACTCAATTTGTTTATTCAAAAGTAAATATTAAAAAAACACATAAACATTGATTTTTCGTCTGTCACGTAGTATGTTAAATGCAGCACTGGTTCAAATTAGATGTTTGTGAAGCCAAAATACTAAGTCTATAGTTTCATATGAATTAGAAACTAAAGTTACAGATATTGACAAGTGATAATATAAAATAAGAAGGTCTTATCTTCTCTATTTGCTAAGATATTGCTCACATAATAATTCAAACATAGTTGCACCTCACTCAACTCCTTCCATTTTTAGAAATGTTCCCTAATACACACTTCTATATATGACATGAATAACCTATCAGAAGCTCAGAATGTCCCCCTAGTGGTTTTCTAAGCCTTTCTAATGTACCCGAGCATCATTTCTTTTAAATCAAGATTTAAAGGAGGAAGGTTGTCTTTAGTCTGCTCGGAATTTCCTATTTTTTTTAGAGTAAAATACATC